AAGAGATTACAAGGGAAATTGGAAATCCCTTTGAGGTAAATCAAAATGAAAACACACCATATAAAACTTTGGTATACAGCAAAAGCAGTGTTCAGAGGGAAACATAGCTATAAATACCTAGATTAAAAAGATTTCAAGTCAGTAACCCAATGGTACACGTTAAAGAAGTAGAAAAACAATCTCACACTAAACCTGAATCATAGGAGAAGGAAATAATAAAGAGTATAGAGAAGAGATACTAAAAAGATGAAGACAAACCATAAAGCAAATCAGCAAAAGTTGGATTTTTAAAAAAGTCATTGAAATTAACTAAACTTTGGGTATACTGACTGTACAAAAGAGAGCAAAGATAAAATTTGTAAAATCAAATTGGAGACATTACTGTTGACTTTATAGAAATGGAAAGGGTTAGAGAACACCGTGAGACATTGTACCACCAATGAATTGGGTGACACTGAGGAGATGTAAAAAAATTTCCAGAAATAAAGAAAGTACGAAAATGGACTAAAAGAAAAACAGAAACCTGCTTAGACACATAAGTAAATCAGTAGTCAGTAACTAAAAACCTCCAAGAAAAGGAAAAGCCACAACCAGATGGGTTTACTAGTGAAATTTATCAAATGTTTACAGAATAATTAACATCAGATATATTTAAGGTCTTTCCCAAAATACCAAAAAATGTTACTCAATTTTTATATGAGGCTGGCATTACTATGTTACTGAGGCCAAAGACAGACATGAAAAATCTAGATTAAAATCTTCAAGGAAAGTAGATGTATAAATCCTCCAAAGTTCCACCAAAGCAATTCCAGCTGTAAAGTATTATTTGCCATGACCAAGTGATGTGATCTGTAAATACACAGGTGGCTTAACATGAAAATCAACAAATATAATTCACATTAATAGAATTAAAGGGAATATGACACTTGGTCATGTTAGTTAACGTAGAAAAAGCATTTGAAAAAGATGCATCATGACAGAAGCAGTCAAGAAACCATAGAAGGGAACTATATAGAAGGAAAGTTCCTCCATTTACATCCTAGATGTTCTTGCTGCCATAACACATTAGCTTTACTGGGTCATTTATAAGGAAAGAAACATTTCTCACAGTGCCTGAGGCTGACAAGTCTGAGATCAAGGTGTCAGCAAATTCAATGGCAACTGAGGGATAGGTATCTACATGATGCTTTTCTGCTGCTTCCCATGAAGGCAGAAGATACAAATGTTACATCCTCTCACAGTGGAAGGAATAGAAAGGAACAAACCAACTCCCTGAAGCCTTTATACAAGGACTTTTATAATCTCACCCAAGAAGTTCCTGTCATTATGAAGTGATTGCCTTGTAAGGGCTGCACCTTGTAATAGTATCAAGTTAGCTCTTACATGCATTTGTCACATTAAGTATATTTCCCCAGCCTGGAATGGCCCTCATTTCCTCAATACGTCTTGATTACCTATGGAGCCCTTCTTTATTTTTTTTTTTATACTCAGCTCCTGTAGGTCACCTACAAAGTCCTGTCCCAGTCATATGTAGCTGAAAAATTCTTAGTCCTTTTGTGGTGCCATTCTACATAGACCTGGTGGTCATTTATTCATTTCTCAATATTTGCTGCTAGAGAATGAAGTCCTTAATGGCAGGATGTTTTGTTACTGATTTTTAAACACATAGGAAGTGAGAGTATCTGAGTTATGGTAGATGTTAAAAATTGTTTATTAAATATATCAAAAAGGTGTAATTTTATTGTAATATGGTGTTTTAGATGTTATCAATTATTTTCATAACCACTAAAAGTTGGGATTTATCAACTATTGCAGAATATAGACTCTTCTCTACTAGTGTTTGATATACTTTTGCCAAACTTAAATGACATTTTAGATATGTAACCCAAATAAATACATTAGGAAATATGAAATGTGCTGTTTTCCATTAGATAGTAAAAGGATGCAACTAATGAAAGCTATGTATTCTCTAAATGGTGCCTGAGCTGGAAGACGGCATGCATAGCCAATGTCCTACATGTGGAAAGGTAGATGTAGTTTTTCCTCTAGGTGTGTAAATTTGTCTTTTATATTTTATACAATTATAACAGCAACAAATAATACAAATAATACATATTTGTACTTTCTACGAGTCTTTGAGTCTATGCTTGACTTGGAGAACTTCATCTTTATAAACCACCTTGTGGGGAGCGGTGTCAGCCAAAAAGCTTCATTTTAATTTTACCCTCTGTTATGAATATCCAGGGGGCTGTGTTATGGGGAACCATGTCTCCGCTAATTCCGGTGTTTACCTTTAGAGATTGCCCTGGCAACAAGATGAACCTTCTGTGACCCCATGAAGCAGGGTAGCCCCTGAGGGTGGGGAGTGTCTAGAGGGCTGGCGAACAGGGAGGCGGGTGTTTTTGGATGGGGGTCATGGTTGGTGGCCTTGCTCGCTGAGTGTATAGAGGAGAGGTGGGGGTGGACTTGCTCGCTCGGTCTTTGTGGGCCCTCCCGTCTCTCTGTTTCTTCTTTCTCAATCCTCACGTCCCTACTCAGGTCTTGTTCCACAAGTGGCACCTGAACAGGGACCTGAGAACGGGGAGGAAGTTGCCGTGAAGGACGTCGCTGGTGAAAAGGCTCCGGGGCTGGTGAGTGTGACGCAATACTGGAGAAATAATGGGGCAAACAGAAAGTAGGGCACTGTTTGCTCAGACAGTAAAAAATATGTTAAAAGGAAGAAGTACCGAAGTTAGTCATGCCCAGCTAGTAAAGTTTTTAGAATTTGTGGGTAAAGTGTGCCCTTGGTTCCCAGAACAGGGAGGGATTAGCTTAGAGACCTGGAATGAGGTAGAAAAAGAATTACAATTATATTCTCGAGGCAGAGGTCCAGCCTCCGTGCCTGTTGATACTTTTAGTTTTTGGGCCTTGGTCCAAGATGCCTTGGATCCGCGACCTGAAGGATTAAGATTAAAACTTAATTGGGATCCTGAAATGACGGAGAAGGGAATACAAACATCTAGGCCTCCCTCCGAACAGCCCTCTTTAATAGAAGAAAATTTAGGTTCCTCCTCAAGCGATGAAGGAGACTTAGAGATGGACCATCCCCTAAAGAAAGGGGAAGATGGATTTGAGAAAGAGGAGCCATAGCCTGACCCTCTGCCATTTGTAGCCATGGCTGGAAAGATAGAGCCTAGTGCCCCACCTGAAAGTCCTAGCTGGAGAATAGAATTAGAAAAGGAAGTAGAGAAACTTATATTGGAAATGGCTCGTGAAAAACTTCAATTACATCAGGAATGTGATAGGCTCAGACAGCAGGTGGAAAATGCTCAGAATAAAGTGCAATTGCAAAAATGTCATCATGAATTGCGGAAAAGTCAGGAGCCACGGCGTTTCGAGGGTATATCTGTTCTTTCACAGACACTATCACAAAAGGATCCTACCTTGTATAAGTTCAAGACAGAACAGATTTCCCCTCTCCAAGCAGCCTTGAGGGCTGGAGAACAGATGGGGGAAAGGGTAGAAGGCCTTTCCTTGGCCTCCCTTGCCTTTCCTGTAATCTATCAACGAGATCAACAAGGACAGATTATGGGAGGAAATTATGAGGTTCCAACTTTTAAGTTAATAAAGGAATTAAAGACAGCCTGCAGTCAGTATGGACCTAATGCTCCCTTTACTAAGACAGTCTTGGAATCACGCACAGGAACGGGATATTTCCCTCCCGGAGATTGGCGACAGATAGCTCGGGCTTGTCTGTCAGGGGGGGATTATTTGTTATGGAAAACTGAATATCAAGAACAATGCTTAAGGGCCAATGATATTAATCTTGCTGCAAGAAATCACTTTCAGCTTGAAATGTTGTTAGGGGAAGGACCTTTCACAGCTCTTCAACAACAAATAAGGATGCCCCCTGAGGCTATGGCTCAGGTGGCAGCTGCAGGAATGAGAGCATGGGCCAAATTGCCCTCCGGCTCACACACGGAAGGATTGTCTAAAGTTAGACAGGCTCCTGAAGAGCCCTTTCAAAATTTTGTCTCCAAATTGATGGAGGCTGCTAATGCCATTTTGGGTGAGGGAAAAGGGACCTCTAAATTCATTAAACAGTTGGCCTTTGAAAATGCCAATGCAGCCTGTCAGGCTGCCTTTCGCCCACATCGCAATCAGGGCAATATTTCTGATTATATCCGCCTCTGTGCTGATATTGGACCAGCTTATACTGAAGGATTGGCAATGGCTGCGGCAATGCAGGGAAAGACTTTTAAACAGGTGTTAGAACAGACCCATGGAAAAAGAAAATCTCAAGTTCGAGGTCCTCCAGGGAGCTGTTTTGGGTATGGCCAAATGGGACATCAGGTAAAACAATGCCCCAAGAGAGATAAACAAGAAACAGATGGCCCACAACATAGTTTTAGAGAGCCCGGCCTGTGTCCTAAATGTCATAAAGGAAAACATTGGGCTAATGAATGTCGATCGCTTACTGATGCCCAAGGAAATCCCCTACCAACGGGAAACTTTCGACGGGGCCCGCCTCAGGCCCCGAAACAAATTTATGGGGCCCTGAAAACCTTCGTTCCTCAGGCCAAGGGGGAGGACAAAATACAACAAAACAATCCGTTTGTGGCCTCTACCGAGCCACCTCCGGCAGTGCTGGATTGGACCTCAGTTCCCCCGCCTCAGCAGTACTGAAGAGTGAAAATGGGGTCGTCCTCCTGCCCACCGGGGTATGGGGACCTCTCCCCCCAGGTAATATGGGAATTATTTTAGGACGAAGTAGTTCAGCCCTGAAAGGAATTAATGTAGTCCCCGGGGTAATTGATGCTGATTATGAGGGAGAGATTAAGATCATGGTTTCCACTGATTTAGAAATGCTGTCCATTCCAGCAGGACAACACATAGCTCAGCTTTTGATTTTACCTTTAGATGTTTCCTGTGGAAGGGTTAAGCAGTCCAAAAGGTGAACAAAAGACTTTGGGTCCTCAGATGCCTTTTGGGTACAACCAGTAGGTTCAAAAAGACCGGAAATGACCTTAATAATTAATGGAAAGTCATTTTTAGGATTATTAGGTACTGGAGCCGATATTTCTATTTTTCGCTCTGATCATTGGCCTTCATCTTGGCCCAAACATGTGACACAAACTCATCTACAGGGAATTGGACATTCTCGGGAAACCGAGCAAAGTGCGGCCGTATTACAATGGACAGATCCTGAAGGACATAGAGGATATTTCCAACCATATATCCTGGAAGGATTGCCAGTCAATCTATGGGGTGGTGATGTGATGAAAGATATGGGAGTGTATCTTTATAGCCCCAATCCCCAAGTGACTCAACAAATGTTAAATCAAGGGTTTGTACCAGGTCACGGTTTGGGGAAACAGAGCCAAGGGTTAAAGTATCCCGTTGTTTCCACAGGCCAACCAAATCAAGCTGGTTTTGGGTATTTTTAATGAGGACCATTGATCCTCCTGTACACCATGCGGATCCAATAGTTTGGAAATCAGAAGAACCCGTATGGGTGGATCAATGGCCCTTAACAAAAGAAAAAATTCAAGCTGCTGAGCAGTTGGTACAGGAACAGCTTGAAGCCGGCCATGTTGTCCCCTCCAATTCACCATGGAATTCTCCTATTTTTATAATTAGAAAGAATTCAAGAAAATGGAGATTGTTACAAGATCTAAGAGCCGTCAATAATACCACGCAAAATATGGGAACATTACAGCCTGGGCTGCCCTTGCCATCAGCCATACCCAAAGATACCTATAAGATTGTGCTTGATTTAAAGGATTGTTTCTTTACCATCCCTTTAGCTCCTGAAGATTGTCAATGTTTTGCATTTAGCGTTCCATCTATAAATTTTAAAGAACCCATGAAACGATATCATTGGGTAGTTTTGCCTCAAAGTATGGCTAATAGTCCTACTTTATGTAAAAAATTTGTGGCTCTAGGATTGGAGCAATTTCGACAAAGGTATCCCAAAATATATGTCATTCATTACATGGATGATATTCTATTGGCTTATAAAGAAAAAGATTGTTTGATGCAGGCTTATGGTGTGTTGTGTTCAGATCTACAACAATGGGGATTAGTAATTGCACCTGATAAAGTACAGGTTAAAGAGCCTTTTCAATATCTAGGCTATGTGTTGGAAGGAGATAAGATACAAACTCAGAAATTGTCTTTAAGAAGAGAACATTTAAGGACTTTAAATGATTTTCAAAAGTTCCTTGGAGATATTAATTGGATCCGTCCATTTTTAAGATTAACCATGGGCCAATTAAAGCCCTTGTTTGATGTTTTGAAAGGCAGTTCTGATCTTTTATCTCCGTGAAAATTGACCCCTGATGCAGTTTTAGCCATAAAATTGGTAGAAGAGGCCATAGAGGATCAGCAATTAAAGTATATTGATTATCTTCAACCCTGTTCGCTATCTTATTTACACAATATAGCCCCACCGCTGTCCTTTGGCAGCGGGGGCCATTGTTGTGGATTCATCTCCCTGTCTCTCCTGCCCGAGTTTTGAGACCGTATTATGTTGCAGTGGCCACAATTATAAGACAAGGTAGATTGGAGTCTAAAAAGTATTTTGGAAAAGACCCAGATATGTTATGTTTATCTTATAAAAGAGAACAACTCGATTGGTTATTAAACAATGACGATGACTGGCCTATGGCTTTAATGGGATTTAGTGGGCAAATAGGATATAATTTGCCAAATCATAAATTGTTACATTTTGTTCAACAACAAGGGATTGTTTTTCCAAAGATTACCCGTTCATATCCACTCAAAATGGCGTCCTTGGTCTTT